ACGCGACTGTGTGCACAGCTCCAAGTCATGACGAATTTAATATCTACATGTGATGCATTCGACCTGGCAGTTGAGGTGTGAAGGCATACAATGGCGTTCTATTGTACTTCATCTTTTCTCGCATGCTCGTAGTTAATTTATACAATTATATTTATACCATCTTTTAGGTACATAATCACAATCGCGTTAGACCTCAGGAAAAGAAAGGAAATGGCCAAGCATAGGTGAACTTGTCGCCTAATTTAAAGATGCGCCAGCACTTCGACGGTAGCTACGGGTGGCGTTTGATCGCCGCTGAGAATAACCGGCTCGGATTCGGTCTGGACGATTCTAACGAGATTCGCATCTTTCTTCGAGGGCACTAGATTGGCGTTAGGCGTGACATTCGTCTCAGCGCAGTAACTCGGCGGCCGGCTCTCCCTCGTCGCTGTACCGGGAGGCTGCACCACGATGCTGCCCGCGTTCGATCTGTAAGTCGGCGGCGGCGACGATGTGGGCTGCAATCGGTCCAGCAACAATAACCGAAGTCTATATTCTTGCATACTAGCCTGCAATAACATATGAAGTATTAGAAACCAAATTTTCGCATATTACACACGAATTTTTCATATAGAAATATAAATGATGTGCAATTTTGAAGCCAGAAACGATCTTCTAGCAATCATTTTAAATTTACATCTTTTTCAATGCAGAACAAGCACAATTGCACGGGCTTCTGCATTAAAATTTTTCAAAGGACGCTGCTCTGAATGCAGTACCTGATAACTCGGTGGCGGCGTTCTAAACTGGAATTCCGGATAGATCATAGCGGCGTAAGGATGTATCGGTCTCGCAGGAGGTATTCTACCGGAAATACCTGTGAAACCGAACAAGCTACCGCAGTAATCTTGGTTGGTCAGTCGCCACGCAACTGCGCTAACCAACACCAGAAGCACTCCTATACCTGAAAACAGAAGATACGTGCTGTAATGTCATGTAACAGTTCTCATTAATTAATTACAATACAAATAAAGCAATTATGATACATACATTTATAATTAAGCAAGTGGCTACACGGATTGCAATTTGATTTTTAAGTGAAAACGAGGGAAAAGGAGGAACGCGGGGCATTCCAGCATTTATTTGTCAATCTGACCCAGCAAATTACGGCATCTATCTTTCGGTTTATCTCTCCATTTGTTTCTCGATTTACAAACACGTTCCCTCGATCTCACGGCCCCCGCGTGTGTAAGTGTCGACATCGATCTCTGTTCTCCTCATTGTGCGAAGTATTCTGAGCGGGTCGCAGGTTACATGCCCACGTTTAGAAAGTAACTGTTGCGAGCTCGAGTTTCCCTATTCCCTCCCCTTCCTTCCTCAATTCTGTCGCCACGTGTAGTCAGCTGCCGTGGCATTCTATATGTTACGCCTAAGTATTCTTTATTCTGTTCTCGGTACTGTGAATTTCAAGAATTCATCTTCATTTTCGCAACAAAAGGAACGTTTGCTTTTTTTCTCTTATTGTTAGTAAAGAAGGCACATGTTTCTCTTCCATACAATTCCTTTCTTTCTCAAAAGGCCGTCATTTCAATTTTAGAAACAGAAAATAATCACAGATAGGAAATGGAAGAAAAAGTAAACGTGCATGTCGATTTTCAAAGAACTTTAGAAATTGAGATCGCCGCTGGAAAGATTTTTTTTTAATCTAAAGTATTTACTTGTATTAGAATTAAAATACCATTTAAATAAAATGATCTGTTTATCGCATAATTATTGTAGTATTAAAATAAATTAATTAAAAAAATTAACAAAAAATGTTGTCACAAATGATTAATGTCATATCTTTTTCATATCTTTCTCACATCCTATTTTTCATAATATAACTGTGTTTCTCATTCTATTACAAACCGCTTTCCTTTTTGCAATCTGATGTATGTCGATTTACTTGTATTTAAATTCAAAAAAGTAAAACCGTTTATTGTAAAATAATACGAGAAAATAAGCTAATCTAATATATTCTAATTCAAAATAAAGTCGATATTTAATCGATAGACTGCAACACCTTTTACCAATCGCACGACAGTGATCTCAACTAAGGCATGTATGTACATTCTCTTTTTCCTTCTCTTTTGCTCTCTCTCTCTTACCAGACATAAATATTCCCACGAGGTGATCACGGCCGGAAGCTTTGAGGGCACCAAGAAGAGTACCGGCACCCGCGCAGACGAGACCTACGAACCCGACGCCTAAAATGGACCAGCGTACTGGAGGGGAACTCAAACCACAGCACTGTTTCGGCACTGCGTCCCTGCGACATAAGAAGCGATCGTTGAATGACCCACTGACATACACTCGTCTCGCATACTGTACGGTTACAGCACAGTACGTGAAGCTGTAGAACCATATAGCTTCAGCGTGAATTTTATATTAGGTGTCATTAATGCCTCAGGCATTCTCGAACGCATCGTGCCCGAATATTTATACGATAATTATTGGTTAAAAAATTCAGAGACGTCCAAATAGCTTGAAGATTGATTTCGAAATTCGAAGCAAGTATTTCAAACTGGAGAAATGTCGAACATTTTAATGACGCTTACATTCAGATATTTAAATACGCAGAATTTATTGAAAGAGCAAAAAAAAAGACTACTTTTAAATAATTAAAGCAAATTAAAAAGAAGAAATATCATTGCAAACCTGCCGAAAGCAGAAACGCTAGCAGGAACGGGAAAGGGTAGACCGAGGCTGAGACCTCTGAGACCCAAATGCGGGGGAGGAGGATGAAGGAAGCCTCTGGCGGGTGGCACGAGCGGCACTCCCGGTGCGGACGAAGCTGTCTGACATCCTGGTGCGGTTCCGGGATACGTCGGCGGTATGGAGCAGGATCTCAGAGCGCGACGATGATGTCTGCGTATTCGTCGTTCCCGCCTACGCGCATCTCGCATACCATCGGAAATCTCTTCGGTCTGGCTCGCCGACCCGCCTCCGTGAGGTGCCAGCTCCGTCTGCGCCTCTGTCGAGGTGAAAGACCGAGCATTGTCTCGTGTTTCCTGAAACACGAACGAAATGCGTTAGCTTGGAGCAAATCGGTTTGATCAATCTGTCGCAAAATCTTCTTCAGAATTGTTATAATTTGTGGACGTAATTTAATAAATCTATCTTCCTCTTCGTCTAGATTTAAAAGAAAGCACCGCAAGTCAAATAATTAATGTCAATAATCAAATAATTATCTCTTTCCTGTCTTTATGACAACTCTCTTGTTTTCTATTTTTTATAGCCTCATTCTGCATCTACCTTCCATTTGTAATGTGTCGAAACAGTATTCATATCTATAAAAAAAATATATAAAAAATAAACTAATTTATTTTAATGGTAAATAATAAATATCTATAGATTATATATAATATTATTATTATATAATCTAATTGTACATTGTGTAATAATTATATAAATAAATCGTGTAATATTAATAAAATAAGCACATATTTAAATAGAAACATAAATTTATTAAAAAAGCAACATTAACGCCAGAAAGACAAAGAAGTCATTTTTTATTCCTCTTCAGTTTCAAGATAAATTAATAGACATTTCTCTGAATACTGGATTTCTTTTTTATTCTAAACAAAATGACCACGATTGTACTTATAATACTTGTACTTAAAATTGTACTTAAAATATTGTGAGGAAGAGGTGAAATTATTTAAAAGTCGATTCTAATCCTTTATGTATTCTAAAAAGACGCATAGAGCTCCGTCTTTCTAGTGTTAAAGCGCGACGATTTCGACGACTTGGCCTGAGTTTACGCGCATGACACGTCAAAACGAGAAATGAAACGGTACCTGTGTTCGGTCCGCGCCGTTCCTGGCATTATCCACAGCAGCACCGTCGACGGCAACCACGCTCACAGGCCTCGGGACATTCTCGGGCAGGACTTCGGCCATCGTACGGTCCTGAGCATTGGTCTCCGCACTTTCCACAGTGTAAAGACACTTCCCCGTTTCGCGAAATGATCCTCTCGCCCCTTCAGAACGTTCCCCCGCGAATTACGTCCTTTGTCTTCGGTTCTTTCTTCGTTTACAATTTTCACCCGGCTTCCTCCGTTTTCATCCATTCATTTCCTCGTTCCGATCGTCCTTCTCCCTCGCTTCCTTTGTCTCGCGCTTCCACCAACGTCCGTTTTAATGACACGGTGAAGCGGGACTCCCGACCTCTTTTATTTCCGCCTCACCTGTCTCGCGTTGATCTTCACCACATGACTGACGACAGGATGGCGTTTCTCTTTCACTCTCCTTCCGATTTGCCCTCTTTTCGCTCGAGAGATCACGGAGGAAGCGCGCGACAACTTGGTATCATTAATATTCAAACGTGTAACGTTGCCGCGCAGGATTCTGCAAGCCTTTTCGTTTCGCCTCTCGCTCCTGTTTCGCTGAACAACATACGTAAACACACACACACACACACACGCGCGCGCGCGCGCACACAGAACAGATGCACTATTACGGAATCGGAAAATACGATATCGAGTGGGCGGCAATCACCATCACAGAGAAACGAACACAGAGCACGTACCAACACCGTTATCGTCTATTTAACCGCGCCGCGATGCCAGTTTGTCACGAAACTAGATCCTTTCGCCGCGACGAATGTCTTCGCCGTCCTGCCGTTTAACGCACTCCTCACGCAGCCACCGGGTCCCGCTGGGGTCTCGCATGGGAGCGGCATCGCGAGGATAACGAGTTAGTTCTTGCCATTACGGCATCAGTTTCTTACAATTCCACCGCGCACAACCGTTCCTTCGTGATCGGCCTGATCTGGCGCTCGCTCGCTCGCTGGCGACGATGCTGCGATGCCGCGCTGATCTGAAAATGGAAACACATTTCGCTCTTACGACATTTTCCACGACAATTTTCATGTCGGATCGCGAGTACAGCCGATCGCCGCGCGATAAATTGTTAGCAGTTAACCCGTGAATAATGGAGACTCTTATTTTAGACGACGGCATTTAGTTTACGTCTATTAGATCGATTCGCCTGAGAGCACGTGGGGGAAAGTAGTCTCAAACGCTCGGGCTGGCCTTTCTCGAGTTATTGCTTCATTGATTTGTGTTTTATCGGCAGCAATTACCGGAGGTCTCCTAGCGAAATGATTGTGATTTTACTTCGTAACTCCCGGAGTATCCGTTGCGAATTAAGTGGGAATAAAGGGAAACAGCGGTGGTCATCGATTTTAATTGCCTCTCCGGCAAAAGGAACACAGGACGATACAAGTTGCACTTCTGAAGCGATCTTTACAATGCAATTTTATATACAAAATCATCTTTAAAGTAAGACGGTTCTAAAACGCAGATTTGTAATTGCGGCAGCTTTGTAAGCGAAGCTTCGCCTTCATTCGCAATTCTGAATTAAAGATTGTACTTAAGAGAATCTTGAATATAAAATCGGATTATAAAGAAAAACGCCCGAGAATTTTTATCTTAATTTGCAATCATATATTTAAGACCGTATTTAAGACGATCTTAAAGGTGAGATTAAACTGCAAAAAGCCGTCTCAGAAGCCGACTTGTGTCGACTTGAATTTCTTCCTGGAAAAGAAGGAATTCATCTCTCGTGAAATCCGACGAATTCAAGCGGTTAATCGAATCACGGTTGACCAACGAAAAACGAAACCGTGCGGGAGTTTCTCGAGCTTGATTGAAGAAATTTTTATGAAAGCGCAGAAAGAGAACTTTATAAGCATTGCAAATTCAGCAGAATGCGAACCAAACAAATTACCATTTTATCGATTCCGACTATTGGTAAAAAGATAAATTTCTACAGAAATCCTCTCCGGCAAAAACATAAAATTTTATTTATAGACTCGCTTTAGACGCTCTACAATTCACGACGGAAATAAAAAGTCCGTTTATAATTGTGTATAATAAAAAATATTTGAAGAATCACAATGCACATATACGAAATACTTATCACTTTTATCTTTTTAATATTTCTTACGTTACTGTATGTTATTAATTAACTAAAAGTGATTTATAAAAAATTATAAATAGAGAAATTTTTATTCACATAAATTACCAAATAACACGCAAATCTTAAAGACATCTGAAACGCGTCCAAAAGACGTTATTCAAATATCTTTGAGATTTGTTGTCTGGATTTATAAAAATTCTATCTCGCATTTTGCTGCGATATAAATCTAGGTCCAGGAATTCACTTTTTCGCGAATGGTCCAAAAAATCGATAAAATAATGTTCTACAAATAGATCAAGTTAGTTTAACTTTCCTGAATTTGCGATTCTTATAAAATTCGTTCCTTTCTCCGCACTTGTTTGTTTCGCACATCTCTAAAATGAGATTAACACGCATGCATGCCACTGTTCATTCGTTTAAAAAGCTGTTACTCAAAGCTTCCTAGTGTTGCGTTTTCCCCTATACACGAGATTTCTATGACATTTATAGTAATCTCCAATCAAGCAGCTGAAAGCGCCTTGCAGCGCATTTTGAGCGAGCACAAGCTGCATCGTCGTGACATGTGAAGCGAGAGATACGGCTCTCTCACGTTTGAATTATTGACAAGCGCCCGCAGGACGAGCGAACCGATCAGTTCAAATAAAGACGTGATCGACACTTTCGTGTGGGCGTCGTTCATTTTATGCACAATAAACGAACGGTAAATCAAGACGAGAGAGCTTTTAACTCGATTGAGGTCGCGGCAGATTTCTCAGCGGCCGTGTTGTCCGCGTTCGAAAAAAATATCACTCACTCACTCGCAGGAAGTGCCTTTCTCGCGTGTACCACACGGCAGCCAAGTGCACGAGCACTGCACAGCGACGAGTATTCGATTCGGGGATCGAAGTCATGCGTGTTCCGCGGCTGCCTTTGCGCGATGCCCGATCGATCTACTAATCGCATCGGGCGGTTGCGAAAACGCCGTTCATGCTTCGACAGAACGAACGCTACGTACGCGAAGGCGCGTCGCGCGGAGAGAACGAGGCAATCCGTACCAAGATAGCGGCTCCACTGACTCCGTTGTTGGATAATACATACGTGCCCGACGCGTATGAGCCCCGTGTAGTATCTCCCACACACTCGCACTTCGTCGAACTGATCGCCGTGCTCCAATCGCGTCGTGTCCCGGCGCTCGCTCGGCGCGAGAAGGAGGGATCGATGCTCGGTGAACGCGCAAGAAGGACGGATCGAGCACGCACAGTGGTGCCGAAACCGAGGAGACTTTCGAGAAATGTTTACCAAGTTGCTTGCGAGAATCATCTGTGTTTGCATCTGTCATAGGCTTTCATACTTTCATGTTTTGGTATGACTAGACGGAATGTAAAGAAATTTAGATTCAGATATTAATTTATGATCAATTAATGTAACTAATTTAATTTTATCAATTCGTAATAATTTGCTTTACAAATTTTACATTAGATTTCCTCCATATTTTGACATTTAACTTTATATATTAAAACGGGTTTAAAACATTATTTCTTTAAAAAAAAAAATACTAATTTGTCTATCACAATTTTTGCCAACAGATTGTAGTAATTTTTACGGTGCTTTTTGTCTAGACTTGTAATTATTAAAAATGTAGATTTCTCATCATGTTCTCTTTCTGTATTATCTCAGATTATACGAATGTTTTTGAACAATGAAAAGATTTTTCCTAAAAATTACCGTTTTTCCCACTCGACACCACTGTGCAACGTTCTATGCGCAAGAGAAAGGGATGGTCGCACGAAAAAAGAGGGAATGAGCGGTGAATGTGAAGAACGACAGAGAGATGCACAGAAAGATGGAATAGAAGGCGTGTTTAACTATCAAGTGGACTCGTCCACGGACGAGTTCTCTCAAATTTTTCCGATTTTCTTAGTGTCTTTACGTTCGACACAGCATATTTTCGTATTGGGAACATGAAACAACAGGTCGATGTGTTATAAACGACGTGCGTGAAGTACGTCGATTATCTCCTCCGCGCTTTAATTTAGCGCGAGAACGCTTATAATGCCGCTATTAATAATAATGGAATTAATAATAATGGAACATACAAGAAATATTTTGACAATTCTTGCGAAATGCAGATTACTAATAGAATTTAATACAAGAATGCATGGAAAAATGTCTATCTTATCTCAAAATTTGTCATTCAAAATTTATTAAATTTATACAAAATACTAAATACTTAGAAATTTATATTTTATTAAGTATAAATTGTGTTAATTAAATAAAATTCATAGCTATTATGTTAGTCTTCAAAACATAATTTTTATTACAAGCATCAAATGTTAATATTTAATTTTATTAATCATAAGCAAAGTATACATAAGAAAATCTGTTTCTCACTTTTGAGACGAGGGAAATAATTTGAGTATCGATCGAGAGATGATGAATAAGTGTGTCCATTGGCTTTATTTAAAGATCAATCACCTTTTTCTTAATCAATAAACCAAGTAATATATCTAACGCGCATTTATATAAATCAACATGGAAGGGAAAGGGGGTTGTACAATGCAGTTTAGGCGGGCATTGGGCTCGCTGTGAGCGAGACTATAGTGACGCATTACGTTTGTACAAAAACTATAATTAATATGCTATGTTTATATATGTGTGTAATATCCTATATACCATGCGGAAGCAATGTATTTAGGACACTGTCAGTTAGCTGTCTATAAACCAGTATAATATAAATATCTCTGAATTTACGTTAACTAATACTTGAAAACTGAGTAGCTTATCCATTTTTTTCGCATCTATTGGACGCCAAAGAACTATCGGTTTACATCTATGTGTGTGTGGAAGTTGATTTATTAAAAATGATGGGAATTACATTCTCTTGGAAGAACATTATTGTAAAGAAATGCGCTATTTAATACTTAAGCGTTTCACGTTTTTATAATCTTTCGTATTCAATGCAAGAGTATAAAAACTTTTGCGCTGACTTAATGTAGTTAATATTAAATAAGTTTAAAAAATGCACGTTTATTCAATGGCTTCTTGATGATAAAAAAAAAGCATCATGTAAAAAAGCATTATGTAAACTATGATATACGAATGTATATTCTGCTGTAATGCAATGCAATTCGAAAACAAATTTTATCTTTTATTCAGCAAATTGCGAATGACTTGCTGTGATAATTTATAGTAATTTTTCTCATAGCGTGTGTAATATTGCAAATCTGCATAATTTTACGTACTCAAATCAGCTATTAGATATCAAAATTAACAAAATAATTGAAACACATTGTTATCTGAATATTTACATTGCTAATAGCGGAATAAAAAGTGTCTTTATATCAATATACTACATAAATTGATGTTGCTTGACGGCAATATCAAAGATGTAAATAAAACGCTAATATAAATATAATGCATATTCCTATTAATAAATTTTCATACTTGATTTGCATCTCTTTTAAAATAATCAATTCTTATTTATATTCTTATGCAACAGGCAACTCTGTTACACACTACACGCATTACATACAATGATATAATTCTTTTATCAATTTAATTATTTACCATGTACGTTATAAGCAATAATCATTGATATAAATTAAAATATAAACCAGAATATAATAGTTCGCTGTTAAAAAAGCATAATATTTGTACAATAATCGAAACATATATCGTAAACTGTACAGCATAAAATTGAGATATACGCTGGCTCGCTCGAATGATTGCATTATCGTAACATTATATATATCAAATTGCAGTACAAACCTACAATGTGCGTAACTTGTTCGCATCGCGCGTCAGTCATGCGTCTGATTAGTATGATTCATCTGCAAAAACAACAGATTATTCCATCTCGCTCAAAGGCTCGTAGTATCGCGGAACGTATGCCCTCCTAAATTCACTGCTTACTAATAATGTATATACATACATACGTACATACATGTACATACAGGATGTTCTAAAAAGATTGATGACAATCTCTTTTAATGGCAGATTCTTTGGAATTAGTTTTGAAGAAAACCAACGATTTTCATATATTGTAATTAAAAATCTCAAATATTAAATAACACTTAAAAACTTTAAAAATCAGTTATAAATATATCTTATGATAAAAATTAAAATCAATATCTTCGCCTTGAAAGAAATCAATTGCAAATTCACTTGAAGCATCTGTTGCTAAAAGGATATTTTATCTTTCTAGAACATCCTGTACATACGCATATATGTATATATACAGCATATATATAATACCTACAGTAACAAGACAAAACTCCAGTCTGCACTGCGAGCAGCCTTCCTTTTTTCATCAATTACTTCTAAATGTACCTCAGAATTCCGTATATGTTGTGTTCCTTTCTTATCTGTGAATGGATCCCAATTGGATCCAGATATAAATAACGATCCTCGTTAGGACTAAAAATAGAATGTGTCTCAGGGGGGAGTGGTGGTATAATAATTATACATTTTATCATAAATCATGCGTTTTGCATTGTCAGTCATCGAAACTGGTACGTAAAGTGATCTCTTAACATGAAAGATGGATGTACTACTGCAAATATTAATAACAGATTAATATATATATTTATATATATATATAGGTAGCAAATTATCAATATAAATTGGCTTTAGATCAATAATATAGGAAGAGAGAATTTTTCTCGGTTTTTATCTTGAAGTGTTAAAAGTGTCAAGCAAGATTTTCTGCGACGTCACTTCGAAGAATTGTTAGTTTAAGTCTCTGCTGCTTGCACATCATTGCGTTATTCAATACTATAATATTATATAAAGTATCATATAAAGTATTTCATAAAAATTTCTTGTAAAATACTATATATATTCAGATCTCAAAACGTACCAGTAGTAACACATTAGCGAAGACCATTCGGGTGCCTACCTCAAAAATGTGCCCCCGTTAGCTACAATTACTTTGATTTAATGCGTATGAATACTTTCCAAGTGCTCCGCACATCGGGATGTACCATACAATAATAGTGAATTATGTACGCCTCTAAATATTCATTAGTACAGATAATAAATACAAAATGTTAATTGGTATACCTTACTTATGTTTCTGTACTAAACCGTATTGCCTTGAAAATTCTATCTGCGATCGATAGGAAAGGGAAAGCATTGCCTATGTCTTGTGATCTCTTTTCCGCGAAAAATCATTTCATGACCGAGGATGTTAAAATTATTTTCCATCATTGTAACAATTTCTTTATAAGTATGTACGCCATTCTAATCTGTTTTCGGAGCTGTGCTTCACTCGGGCGATGAAACACATTTAATTATCTGTCTTTGCGCCCCCCGCCATTATAACATAGTCAACTGTAGAAAATTCCGATGTCTATTACGCTATCGATTCAACGAAGGACGGAAATGGGAAAATGTCGACTGGAATGTATACGCAACGGAAATCGAATTCTTGGAGAAGAGGAGTCGAATTTGACGTGTCACAGACAAATTGTAAGATGGATGTGCAAAAGCTGCGCGTGCCGTTTTCCAAATCGTTCGCAACACACTTTTGCAATATGAATTATTAGTTCACACATTCAACATACTCGTCAAAAAGAAATTGTATTCCCCTCCCCCACGTGCCACGTCAATATTCCACACATCGTTCGTTTGGATGGATGTCGCGATAATTCGTTACACAGATAAGAGCGATACGTTTCACTTTATCACTCGTTAATATTGTCCGTCGTAAGAGAAATAAAAAATGATAAAGAAATGTAATACTATACCACTTCAATAGAAGTAGAAGACACTTACGGATTGTGCAATACCATTATAGAACAGGTGGAAACTTTGTGGATCATCCGATGTTCCCACACGTGAAAGTAAAGCGCTCTTTCCTTCCGACGAAGAGAAAAAAAGTGATCGAAGCAGAAAGTATAGATGAAAATATGCTTTACATTACGCATTAATTTTTGTACAATACGAGCCAATAGTACCGTCGATGTGGAGCGATATCATTCGTTCCTCTCGGAATGAAAAATGCAACGAAAGTAAAAGTTTTATACGCTGATAAATATTTCCACAATTTTTTCAAAAATTCTTAGGATCCAATATTTGAATCTCACCGCGATTCGCGTCCGCTCGTCCTCTCGTGAATTGCGTGAATTCAATCGTGTCCGACTTGTGTGCGCTGCACTAATTAAGTCTTTATCTCACGTAACCGGCAACAAAAGCCACTGTGTGAGCTTGCGTTTCTTATGGCAATTCTAGTCAATTAGAAAAGTGCAAACGAAGGCAGTGACAATTATGAGTTCAGGCCCTGGCGTTTCTCCTCTTCGAGCATCGCGTCGAGCTCGTCCGTGAGATTGGCAAGCATATTTCCAATGTCGTTCAAAACGTCCGCAGGTTCACCAACAGTGGAATGATGATTGACTACGTGACCACCGATACTAGTCGGTCCGCCCGGTACGTACTCTTGCGCTCGGCCGGCCCTTTGTTTTATCGTGCCGGCGTTCTCATTGGCGAACGGCAATGAGTCTGATTCTGTACTGGAACTTGACTACAAATATAAAAGTAAAAAGAATATAATAAATGTTACGTAATCGATTATTATTGTATGTTATCAAGTCAAATAATTGATTACATGCGTTATTATCAACCACTTTTTGTTTGATAACACATCTTTTTTTTATGTTTTATACGATATATAATCTAAAAAAATTAAAAAGCAGTAGTATCTAATAGTATCTAGTTTATTAGAGAATGTTTATTTAAATCTTGAACAAAACTCCCTGAGAATTCCATTTCTGATAAAATTTTCAGGCATACAAAAGCATTTTTTAATATATCCTATTCGCGATAAAAAAAGATTAAAAAAGCGTTATTCAAACGAAAGGTTCAGATACATGACAAACCTAAACTAAACAGTCTGATTAAAACAAAATCCTCAAAGACATTTTTAACAGAAACTTTCTAATATCTTCAGGCAGAAAAAAATGTTCCAAGAATTTTTTCCAGCGATAAGATACTATATCGTAAAAAATGCAGCACAAAAACTCGTTGTCGAGCACAACATACCTTAAAACTAGCGTCTGATCCGTTGCGATGCTGTAAAGCGAGAGTGGCAATTAGCTCATGTTCCTCGTTAACGTTAACGCTGACGCTACCCCACGAGCGCGACATGGAGGAGGGCGGCCGATTCAGTTGCGGCGGTGTGGAAGGCGCTGGTGTGGGTGCTGGCGGCGGCGGCGGCGGATGATGAAGCAAATGATGATGCTGATGATGATGCTGGTGAATATGATGATCGTCGCACGAAGCAGTCGGTACTGGTCCGCTACAGTCTATCACAACGTCGCCGACAGCGGTACCACCTACACTCACGGAAGAACTAGTTGCATCCCTAGAGCTCTGCCGTCTCGGGGGCGACGGAGGACATCGTTTCGGAAGATGCGGACTACTCTCGAGTCCGTAGGTTAATTGATACTTGTTATCGAAATCTCTTGGCAAGGATTTATATTGCCCCGGTGTCGCGGTGACCTAAAATTAATATTAAAATATGAAAATTGTATATATCACACATATGTGCTGTTAGAAAACGTATAATTATAGCGAACTTGATTGAAAAAAGATCGTCTTAATAAATCTTTCTCGCCGATTTTTGTTATCGTTATCCAAAAATTAATATACCTTGGCGACGGGCCGCGGACGAACAAGGCAATGTCTTGGTCGTGGAAGAGTACCGCCACCGGCATCCACAACGGAAGCATCATTCGTTGGTGTGAGATCGCCATCTTCGAAGCTACGTGGACGCCACTCGAGAGGCTGTGGATGCGAGATCGGCGCCGGCGACGGAGGATAACCAAGAGGCGCGTCCTCTAAGCTTTCCAAAGACTTTCCCCGAGAGCCAGTACGGCCAACAGTATTATAATCAGCCGGAAGCGCGGCATACATACTTCTCCAAGTAGCACCGGAAGTGGTATCATTTCCACCTCTTTGAAAAGATCTGAGTACAGGCGAGGAACAGTCCTCATCAGGCGACGGTAAGTCGGGCCCACCTCGTTGTATAACAACGTCCTGAAAATTCATCGGTCAAAATATTTCATCTTAAAGTTTTGAACAACTTAAAGAAAAATTGTTTAATTTGTTAGAAGCATAGAAACGTGTCTACAATAAATGCGGCTAGTACGAAAAATTCGCGATGATTAAAATAGATGTAAAATTATGACTAATCTCACTGATTCGTCATATAAATATTTAAGTAGCCTTTCACGTTCTCATCGCATTTTGATGTTGTAATAAAAATGATGTAAAATAATGTGTATAAAGTTAGCCCCACACTTTAATAAAATTAAAATAATCAAAATTGTACTGCATTGTACTAGTTTTGTACCAAATTGTACCGTAGTTAATTTTTTGAAATTACGCGCAGATTTCCAAAAAATCCAAATTTTTGAATTTTTTGAGTAGCCCCACACTTTTCGAAAAATGACTTTTTCTCGACTGTACTACATTGTACTAGTTGTACCAAACATTGTACCGTTTAAAAAAAATTCCTAACAAATTTGGATTTTGAGAAAAACGAGAAAATCGAAAAAATTTTGGACATTACATAATTACGGCAAATCGGCTATTTTTTAAGATATCAAAACGCGGCCAACGGGGTTCGATAGAGCGTTGTTTGTACCGGTTTGTACCGCTTTGAATTTCGTTTGCACCTTAACCGGATCGAAAGTCCGGACACTGCCGTGAAAGCTTCAACACGTTTAGTTCCTTCAATTGTCGTTTTTTACAGTGTCGATAAGAAGCATCAAAATGGCGTACTTCGCACTCTATACGAACGTCCGATTGTGGAGCAGGTTTCATTTACAATGCATCCGTAAAATTCACTACCGCATTCGTTACACGAACCTGTAATCTGTAGGTAGATACTACTTTCAGTCATTTTTGCTCTTTTAAACAAAAATGCACACGGCAGTTTCGTTTCTTTGTAAACAGCAGCGAATAAGATATTACTCCATGCTGTAATGCTTGTAATGTTAAGTATGTTCTACTGTTGAGCTTTTTACAGTGGTACTCAACATTTTCTTTATTTGTAACCATTCTCTAAAAGTGAAAAAAAGGTTGAAGCAAATTTTATCATCGTTCTCATCGGTGGTATTCGAAATATTAATATTCGAAACATCCTTTTCAACGTTATAAAACTGAAGTGCTTGTTCCAAATGTTATATCGATTTTGCTTAAGAATAACATAAATATACTTGGGCTTCAACTTGTTTGATAGTTCCGTCGAGATTTTTTGATAAAGGTAGCATTTGGCGCCGTAGGTAAGCCTCGTTCGTCGATTAGGTCCCTGTAATCCTTGGACATAATTATGTCCAATAATGATTGAATGTGTTCCATTGTTTGTCCGTTTTATTTTTCGACAATTCGTGAATTGACGATGCGATATCGTAAACCTATAGTTATCAACCGTAGTTTTGTTAGCAATTTGCATAAAATACTTCAAAAAATAATAAAAGCATTCGCTATCTATACTTTGCTTGAATCTGCTTGACGGCAGTTATGACACGTATGGACACATATGGACACGTATGCCAGAAAGGAGAAAAAAAACTATGTAAAAAAATTAAATTCTTGCTCTTTGAGTAGTCACACAGCAACCCACAGAAATTAACTATTTTTCTCAAAACTTTCACTATCACGTAAACCTTCCTATCGGTACAACTAGTACAATGTAGTACAGTCGAGAAAAAATTATTTTTCGAAAAGTGTGGGGCTACTCAAAAAATTCAAAAATTTGGATTTTTTGGGAATCCGCGCGTGATTTCAAAAAATTAACTACGGTACAATTTGGTACAAAACTAGTACAATGCAGTACAATTTCGATTATTTTAATTTTATTAAAGTGTGGGGCTAACTTCATACACATTGTAAAATATATGTAATAAAAATTTTAGGATTAACTCATTTTTTTTTAATCAAATAAAAATTCTTAAATGTTTTCAATTTTTAGCGAGTTAATTAAGATAATACTTTTTTTATTGCTTATAAGCTAGATGATTGTATGTATGATATTAAAACAAGTTTTGCGTTAAGGTATTATCGTGTAATAATTTACGTCGGGACATTGAAGAAACACAAAAAGAACCTTTGCCCATTAGCTATATCCTTTATAAAGCAAGAAAAATATATCAGATAAAAAGATATGACTTACCTGCGTATGTCCGGGATGTGGCGGTAAACGCGCAAGGTCAAGCGGTTGTATACGTTTGCCAGCACGAATATCTTTAACTCTCTTAATAGCCAAGAGTAACCTCTTTTGATGCCCTAGGCGTACAATACCAATGTCCTCGAGATCCTCCCAAGTGAGAGTCGTCACGTCCTCAACGGAACGCATACCCTGTTGATGAAGAGCGCCAAGATATTCTTCGAGCCTGAGAAGCCTCAGCCATTCCTCCAGCGATCCGGGCACGTGTTCCGGCAAACCGTCTCCTATATTTAAATTGTCTATTTCCGCCTTCAGCCGCTTTCTGTGATTAGGTTTCTTAATACCTGTAACGAATACAATGTAGAAAGTAGATCTTTTTAAGTTTGTTTTGCGTCAAATAAACCAAAATAATAGTTAAAATGCTGCATAAATTTACAATTGACAAAATAAAAGAAAATCTTTGCACTCAATTCGCGATTATAAATTTCAGATCATATTTAAAAAACGCTCTTAAATATTAAAAAAAAAGACTGAATGAGATAAAAACCATCTGACTAGAGAAAGCAAAATCGATTCGTGTTGACTTGTGTTCTTGGTTGAGAAAGCATTATATATATATATATATATATATATATATCTACGAGAAACTATGTAGATGCATTCAACGCGATTAGGCTGCGGGCAATCGACTCACCTATAGCTGTAAGATCCTCCGGCGTCATGCGCGTTATAGTAGCGAGGTCATAACCTGCGGAAGCGAACAGGGGAAAGTATTCTTCGAATTGGAGCTCGGTTAGCCAAGCATGAACGACATCAAGGTCCGCTGGTCTGTCGGGATGACTTCCAAGGGAGCTAATAGAGCATCTGGGAGACGAGGCGAGAGCACCGGGCCCTCTAGGTCCCAAATGATAGCCAGACGCTCTTCCGGAATCCAACGAAGCTGTAGAATGTCTAGAACCGGAACCCGATCCTGAACTGCCAGGGCTGTCCCTGCCGGGACTCTGTGTCATGTCAATACCTAAAAAAAATATTAAAAAATTTATGTTAAAACTATATTACATACATACACACGCATACGCATATGCGTGTGTATGTATATACATAGTTGTAATATTTTTGAATCAATATGATTCTTACGATTTCACGGAATTGGAGCAAACTAATACCAAAAAACATCGAGCATAAAATCAATTCTTACGGTAGTGAACTGAAAAGAAACCAAATAGAGAAAGATGAATGAGAGGAGGGAGTGTAAAGAAAAGAGTACAGAGAATAATTTAACATGAAAATCTAACAAATGACGAATTTGGATGCACAACAAATTGGCCCTCAGCCAGCGAATATGCTCGTAACGGAAGGACATGCATGTAATCCAGTAATGTAGGACAACCAGTAAGTCGCACATTGCGGCTTACCGGACTGACTGCCGGTCTGGGTCATCGACAACCGGACGACCAACGATCGTTGGTCTAACTAAGTGTCTATTCTAATGAAAATTTTCGCATTTCAACAAAAGTTCAGCATTGCAGTATCAATTAGCGAAAATTGAAATACGCTTCTTTCAATATTTCTACAAGCACAATTCTCACACAAGCGTTTATAATTCGTCGAACCATTAATCGAAACAATTGAAAGTTAAAGTTCCAAAGCTGTCAAAGCCAAACCATATACTAAAAGCACATAGCAGCAACGATAAAAAAATATTTGACGGCAACGTGGCGCGACTCTCGGCGCGATCATCACTTGCGAGACTACTAAAAGCAACATTCCTCGTACGTTTTTCTTTCCGCTCGATAAGAATGCGCCTAATAACATCTCACGATCTATATACGTCCATCGTGTAACTCGCACCTTGATCTTCGGCGTGGGCGTACTTGCCGACGACCGGCGGAAAGGCGAAGCCAGGATGGGTAAAAATAGGTCCCGGACTTTTTCCAGATGGCATCCCGTAGGATCCATCGTCTGTCGTACCTCCGGGTCCGCTTCCGGAGAGGAAGCAGCTATCCTCGCTGCTAGCATATCCAGCCGAGCCAAATGAGGAACCAGAGTGTCGAAACACGTCTGGTACAGCCGGTGGTGCTACTTTCTTCGCTTGGGTCACGGCTTTAGACGGCCGGCTCATACCGCCAACTGTAACACACAGAAGGAAGAGAATATTAATCAAACCGAATGATAAAGCGCACACTTAATTAAAACTGCAATATATCGAGGAATCTTTCGAATACATTATTTTACTCTTTTATCACTTCAAGCACTTTTTTACCGGGCAAGAACAATGATAAATCAAGAGTCCGCACGAAAGTTTCTGAATTTCACCAGAAGCTGTTCTTATATATCGCACGTAGATTCCGGAAATCGAAAGATTTATTGCTCTCTGCACCAGTCAACTCACATCCGTGTAAACAAGCACAGGAAACTTATCAATTTTCGTACGAAGCTCATCGATGGAAAACAATGAGTCAGCTCATAGTTTTGGAAAATCTATCTCAAATAAATATTACATTAATCGCAGTTATAATGACATAATGTTTCTTCATGAAGCTGAAATTTCGTTTCTCAGTTTTTAATCGTACCACTTTTTTCAATTCTCTCATTCTAATCGCATTTTTTAAAGCAGTGATTCAAGGCTATGTCAATTTCAGATCAGACTCTGCAAAAACTTTAATCGAGGTGAGAAATAATACGATAATTACACTAACAAATTATATAAATGCTTATTGAATATTAAAGTATGCTGATGAGCTTTGTCACGTCTAAGCAATCAGCTTGCGCTGCTCAATCGCGTAAGTGTAGCGAATGAAAATAATGAATGGTCTCGCGGTCAGGCTATTTAAAAAGGTCGCACAATTATGTAATAGCTGCATAATAAAGCATAATTAATGATGATTGCGTAGCATTCAATAGTATACGCACAGATGGCTAGATAAAATATTTCTGCTCTAGATCGGCAAATTTCACACAATGTGTGCTACAGTCCAGATGCGGATAATGTGTGAAATATGCCGTGTATAGTAAAATAAAATTACAGTCCGAGTGCGCTGTAGCTCGGAAGAACAAAGTCGTTTGACGAGGTGATTAACGCAGCTCTTTCTCAACATTCCACAATCGTAGGTGGACAGAAAGGCTTGTATAGGTGTAAGAGGTATCCTCGGTCTCGAAGGTACAAGATGGACGAGAGAAGGAAGGAAGAAAAGAAAACGGAGTAAAAGGAAAGAAACGAGACGGGAGTGGCTGGATGAGGTCAAAGTCTGCGGGATGTGTCAATTTATTGCGTAAACACCGAAAATCTCATTGAGCGACGTGCGCGAGAAGAAGAGCCTCGAATTCTCTCAACTTGGTATTCTGAAAAGAAAGCCCTCGCGACGTCCAACGACTCGTTTCCGACTATTTATTTTACACGTAAATTAGAGATCCTGAAAGCGTACGCTTGAGCGCAGCAATGAGAGAAAAAAAATGCCAAGACAATGTTTGAACGTAATGTAACACAGAATTAAAAATGTGTCTATATCAATAATAAAATTCTATTTTCACATAATGAAATAAATCAAAATTCTGTTTTAAAAGGAATAAAACTGTTGAATTTTTCAGAGAGCATCCGTCCAGCTTCCATCGAGTTCTTTCGCGATACACATTAGCGATACACGAACGCGTGCCAGTTTTCAGATCGTTTCTACGAAGGTCGCTGCGAGTGTGCGAGGAGAGTGCGAGGAGCGGAGCTCACAATGCGCTTACTGTGTGAAAGCTGCTTGCCGCTTGTGCGCTCGACCAGAGGCGTAATTCACCAGCTCGAATTAAACGTCCAGAACAACAAAACGCCGATTATTTAACGCCCGATGACCGATAACAAAAGCATCATATTCTGATTGACTGTGCAGGCGATAAAACTGGCTTTATAACGCGCTTGAAATAAAAAAATTAATAAATAGAATAATAAAAGAATATTATTTATCGGTTATGAATAGAAATAAATAATAAAATAATAATTCGATTCTCTTTTTAAGCAATATTTTCGATAAAAGGATAAAATTTAAACCCGCGGTATCGGCAAAATCGCACTGTGTCTCGCTCAGACATCTCTTCTTTTTTTTTTTTTTTGTTTTGTTAATATCTCACATATATTGCAATTAAAATAGTAGCGATGCGTTTACAGTACGGCACTTTCTTTTTATTCAAAACTGGACGCAATCCTGTTCGATTCCCCACACTTACGGTGTAATAGGTTTTTCCAACTGCCATAAATCGTCTTGATGCACTTCTCTAAAGGCGTGTTACTCGGCGCCAGCGCGGCTGTCGTTTTTCGCGAGCAGAGATTGCCTTCGGAGCAGCTTCTGAACAGACTCTGCTTGGCGGCAATCGTGCCAATAGTCGTCTCGCACGGACGCAGTTTCGCCATTGGATTTTCTAGAACTCTATGAGGGAGCCAAGCCTCGACGGCAGGATCGTGGAAACTCTTATAAGTGGACGATAACTTCCTCGACTTTTGCAGGAATCGTTTCCCGGGTGGCAAGGGCGGGGGGCCCAAACAATTGGCCATAGCGGTGATCGCCATGCCGTATTGCAATCTATTTTAATCGTTTTTAGATGACTCTTCTGAGGTCTGTCGATCAGTCACGATACACGCGTTTGGTTTCCAACTTCCGTGACAAGTCACACGTAACAATGTCTATCGAATGGATGTAATTTTACGATACATCGTAATTAGCGAATGAAGAGAACAGCTACACAGATTATTATCAAGATCGCCTCGCAACAGCGTTAATTGTGATAAACAACTTCATAGATTCTCTTCAGATACTGTTCAACTCGGATATCTCTTTGCCGTTTTATGCAACAATTTTGCGTGGTTGCCTTCACAATTGCAGTCACTACGAAAAGGAATACAATATTGCGCCAGGCTTATCATGTCAGTCGTGGAAAATGTTTTTTACTTGGCGATAAATTATTGATTCGATTATCGTTTCAATCGGTCTTGAATTAAATTCGCCACTACGCGAGGATACATTTATTGCTTAAGACTTCATAAGTCCCGGCTTGGCTAATATTTCTCTATCAAATGCTCTTTCTCTCTCTTTTTTATCTCCACTGAATTGGGCATCAACTCAATTCGATTTATTAACCCTTTAATAGACTGCGTTTGCCGCAATCAACTGCTCTACACGCACAAGACTTGAGAAAAAATGTTCCATCGCCTAGATGTACGTGAAGATTCAATTCGAGAAGCACGATAGACACATCAAGCACACTTTCTCACAAAGCAGCGGGCGATATCTCGCTATTAAAATCGACTCCGATCAATTAGATGGTTCGCCAGTCGACACTTTCAACCAGAAGGAAAGCACACGTCGAAGAGAATAGTCGAAAAATGCGGGGCTTAGGTAGAGGCGCAGGCGCGGGCTGCCGGTGAAACGGCACATTGGTGGTGGCGAACGCGCGAAGGTGGCGAAGGGGCGAGGTCGAAGGTGGGTGAACGGGTTCCGGAGACCGGCGTGGGCCGCCCCTGCCAGGCCGCGGCGTAGGTTTTTGAAAAGCGCGGCACGTGAATCGACTCAACATATGGAAATATCGAAAGAACGATGAGGGATTGGCTCGCAAGTGGGGGTCCGAATGTATTACTCGCGGAGGAAAAGAATGACGAGATTTCATTGATCGAGAGACCGGCTGACGAGTTTCGCAAGAAACGTTATGCGGCGGGTCCGCGAAGAAAAAAGAGACGAGCGGTTTTCTCCATTAATAAAACTCGCAGATACAATTTCCAGTTGTAAAACGAGCGGCGAAGAACTTGTTTCCTCGAAAAATACGAATGAAGATAAAAATTGCAAATTTTAGCTTCATTCCACAATTGTAATATCTCGGAAGATTTGGCAGAGATAATTTAGTGTGTTTACTTAAATCCTAAGAAAATTCTTTCCTCATTTCTCAGAAGATTCTCCAAGCATCTTCAATTTCCAGACAAAAGTTTAGACGTTTTTTGCATACAATAAAGTTGCGCATGCAATATTCAATATTAAAAAATTGAGAGCCACCTAAGTTTCAAATATTGGAAAAATATTAAAGATAAGCGAAGGACAAGTCGATCATAAAATTCTCCGAAAGACGCTATCGACAGAAATTCCGGAAATTTCTCCGGGTAGAAAATAATTCACTGAGAAATCCTAGCTTTTCAGGTTTTCCCAGATCATAGACACCTTGCAATTTTGTTGTCAAACCAGAAGAGCATAAAATATTCGACGTATCAATCTTCACGTTTATCTGAACGTAGTGGATAACTGCGCGTGATTAAAAAAATGTCTGCACATGTCAGCACGCGCAATCGCGGACACAAGTACACTCTAACCAAACAAAAGAAAAAAAACGTGCCCAGAGAATGATTAAGCGTACGACATAGTGTAAATTTTACCGAGCAAGGTATTGAAGCGGCCTGCAATTGCTGCAGCGAGCTAGCGCCTGAGTCTGTTTCATGAACACAAGTGGAGCCTCTCGAGTGCGTATCGTGGACGGTAGACGCGAAGGAGAACAGAAAGGAAGAAGAGCACGTGCTCCCTCGTGAAAAGTAACCTTAGGTTTTTACATCGCGGCCAGCTACGGTCCGCCGTTGTATCGCTGTGTGCACCGACATCCTTTTAAGTCCCGCTCACTCGTAGTATCGCGCAACTCGCGATTCGCACTCGTTTTCCACTTTTGGCCTGTATCCATTTCCATCCACCGCAATGCCTAATAATAAACTTAATGTATGTATTTTGTGCAAAATAAATATAACGCTCTGTTTGATGTCAGATTTCGGATAATCAACTTTTAAAATAACCTTCCTCCTGCGCGGTGTTCAAGTAATTAATGTGTATATTAATTAAGTGACAAATATAATATGTTAATTGCAATACAAATTATACCAGATGGTTTATTAATTTATGGAATTTATGCCAAAATTATAATACCTAATGCGATTAATCTGATAATACACTTATTAACATCGCACATATATTAATACGCGAGAATCGGTAGATATATCAAAAAGTGATGGAATTTATTTTAATTAAAGTACCTCAATTTTTCGTTGATAAAGTTGACCGATCAGAGTCGGTCAATCGTTCAAGAAATAAAAGAAAAACATCTTCCCGTTTCACCAATCGAGA